CCCTTATAATAAAGTTTATTCTAATACAGATTACGGGCTCCCCCACAGCAGCGATGAGCCGGTGTCACTGTCACACTCACTTCTCAGATGGACGAGGATTCTTCACTTTGATCCTGGAGCTGAGACGCTGGATCCTCGGCGGTGAAGGGAAAAAATAAAGGTCCGACAGCGAGTGAGGCAACTCCGCAGAAAAAGTGACGCAGGCGACGCTCGGTGCTGCGCTGTGTCACTGACACCAGAGAGAAAACAACGAGACGCTCCAGTGATCGATGGCTCCGACAAACTTCCCCAAGTTACGAAACTCCTCTCTCACTCTCGGCCTCTGTGTGAGTGTGTGTGTGTGTGTGTGTGTGTGTGTGTGTGTGCGTGCGTGCGTGCGTGTGTGTGTGTGTGTGGAAACTGCTGCTGCTGCTGTCACATGATCCGCTGTCTGTTCTCCATGGGGTCGGGCCGCTGGGCGGGGCTGGGGTGGGGTGGTCCAGTTCGTGTGTGCGTGTGCGTGTGTGTGCGCGCGCGTGTGTGGGTGTGTGTGTTGCAATTTTCATTCCAAGTTTGCAGGAGACAACACTTGGGAACTTTTTCATTACAGTTATTATCTGAAGCAACAGATGAAAGTGTGTTACTAATAAAACTACATAGTCCAGGCTTTTATGTGTTTGATAGTATTAATAGTATAATTCATTGCTAATTTACAAAAGGTTTGAAGCTTTAATGAATGTCTCTGTTAGTGGTAATTAATAATGATGATAATAATGAGTGATGATGAATGCTGGGTTGTCAGGTTGTGAGACATCCTTTGTTTCTTTTTATCTTCTGGCTATTTCATTAATTTATGAGACCTCTTCATTGCACCAAAGGACATTTGGACCAAAATAAATTCATAAACTCACCATGAACAGTAAATATTCCTTCATGGGGTTAATTATAGCATCAGTAAAGTTCCCTTGCCTATAAATGTTATTAATCCATCAGATTTGACAGATAAGTATCTCATAATAACCTGTCAAGTCTGTCTATGTTGTTTTGTTCCACATGCCCTCTGGTGATTTTACAGAAGATAAAGATTATCCGAGATGTCGCCACAATTAATTAAATGTTTAGATAAAAAATAGTTCTCGTAGCAAATAATGCTCTTGGAGCATTTCTCACAACCTGGCAACCCAGAACAGGTTTGCTTATCGCTTTATAACTGTTTGTTAAAGTATCAGTCAATGATTAATTAACCTTTACTAAGGTGCCAATTTCAGTTCATAAGGATTTACATAAAATTTATTTTTTTCAGGATGCCTGTGATATTCCATGTAAAAGAACAAGTTATGGATATTAGAGGTTTTTAATCCACCGATCCCTAACAATACCAATCAATGCTTTTTATTGTTAATAGCAACAAATGTCAAAATCACATAAGCAAGAGAAATATGTCATGATTTGTGATCTGAATGCATCATTACTAAGCTACTTTTAAATATAATTTGTCCATCCATCTGTCCATACTGCTTATCCTTTGTGGGGGAGCTGCAGCCAATCCCAGCTGACATTGGTCGCCAGCAAATCACAGCCATATAGTGACAAATAAACCACTCACACATTCATGGTCAAATCCAGAATCTCAAATTAACCTAAATCTGCGTGTCTTTGGACTGTGGGGGGAAGCCTGAGTACCAAAACAGACCTTGCAAGAGGATGACATGCCAACTCCACACAGTGAGACCCTGGCCAAGCTGGGATTCAAACTGTGACCTTCCTTGAACACATTTTAATAACAAATCAATTTAACAGTAAAATAATGAACGGTGCTGGAATCACTTTACACTTTGTGGAGCAAATGGTAACATTAGGCTTTAAAAGGCAGAAGCATATACTTCCAGCAGTGATGACTAAATATAATGTGTTACGTTCCACCATTGAATTCTCATTGACACAGTATGTACAATGCAATAAACAGAATGATATGATAAATCATATGATTACAGTAAGTAACAAACAAGTGTGCAAAGACGACGTGACAATCTCTTCTCATCTGACACCACACCTCACTAACTGAAACCAAAGTATCTGCAGTTTGTTCTGCAACTACATAAATAACACATGAGAAAACACAGCCCTGATTAGACTGACGCGTGTGAAACAAATCTTATACTTTTATGAGGGGAGGGACACAGTTATTTGTTGACGACTTACGCACAGATGACATAATTTAACTCATCATATATAACAATTCTGGTCTCTAATTGGCTGGCAGGTGTTAATCAAGTTTTCAGCACACTTCATGTGTGCCAACGTGGGTGTGTTGTAAATTTACATTCCAAGTTTGCAGGCGACAACAATTTGAAACTGTGTGTGTACTGTTTCACTGGAAGCCATGACTCCTTCCAGTGAAACAGCACAACGAACACAAAGAACCGCCTATCAACACGTGACTGTACATACGAGCTACAGGTAAACCACATCATCGCCTTCACCTCCTACATTATTCCTTTTTGTTTTTCTCAGGAGTTGGTAATTGGAATCAGAGTTAAACGTTAAACAACGTGCCCCTAACACATTTGCATTTGTCCGGTGGCCAGAATGATGACTATTTTCTGAAAGGGTCGTCCAGGTTATCTGTCCTCAGCTTATTTTGGAATCTTCTCATTGCAAAAAATATTCAGAGCAGTTGTTTTAGTAAAGACTCAACAAACTAATTATCTCACGCCACCTTTGCCACTCTGTTTTTGTTTGTACCTGTAACCTTGGAGTAAAGGGACATATAATCCAGATAATACAATAAAGATCTTCTCTTGTTTAAATTTGATCCATTGCCATTGTCAACACTGAACTTTCTCTTCAGTAAATCCCTTCTAGAGTCCTGGGCTCATTTTACTTCTTTTTGCATAAAGTTTCGATATTTAAACTTGTGACCTCTATGTCTTTTCATGTCACCTGGGATCTCACAGTGCTTTGGGAAAGGAATTTGCTTGCAGTATGTTAGAGTATGTTCTTCATCTGGCACATACTTTAGAAACATATAGTAATGCAGGTTTATTCTGTACAGAGAAAACTTGTTCATCAGAATGTTTTATAACAACACCTCAGGTGTAATTCCAGTCACACAGAGGTCATTGTAATACGTGCAACAAAGTGTTCCCACATCAACAACACATTGTACTACCTTGTTTATTAGATTTGTTTTGTATTATTATAATGTATAAAGTATAGTTTGTGCATTTGCTGATATTCCTCCACCAAGCATGTTTGTTTTCACCCCTGTCTGGAATTTTGTTGGTTGGTTTGCTTGTTTGTCAGCAGGATTAAGCAAAAACTGCTTGAGCGATTAACCATGAAACTTCAGCTCAGGATCAGAGCAGTGGTTCCTGGATTTTCTTTCTTTGACATTGTGAGAAGGGACGTGTTCTCAGGGAATAATTCATGGATCTTGATGGAAACAAATCTGGCTTATCTAGAGGACTAATATCTAAGTGTGTGCAATGATATGTATCTCTCTACTGAGTGCCATTGAAATTCTAGTTTATTTTAATGCAGTTCCATCCGAATCAAATACTCAGTGTCGAGGAATGATAGAACCTTATTTGGTTTATCATGTATTTAAACTGTGGTAACATACATGACAGATTTAGAGACAAAGACTGCAAAGTGCTAACCTAACACACACACACACACACACACACACACACACACACACACACACACACACACACATACGCATGGTGGTATCTATCATCGCAGCCCTGCCCTCCCAGCTTCCTCAAACGAAACAAGTTAGTGATGATGTGACAGCTGTGACTTCATGTTTTTTTATATAGGTGTGGGGCCTTTTAAGTCTGAACACACATCCTCTGTCTGCAGGAGAAGTGGAGCATGTCACTCGGTGATGTCTCAATGTACATGGCGGCAGTGCAATGTATGATTCAGGGTGGGTCCAGTGGGGTCACTGAAACTGTGTCTGTGTGTCAAAAGCGCCTGAGGGAGAACTATGTAGATCCTGCAGAGACCAGGATCTACAGAAGTCAAACACCAGTGTGTGATTTTACTACATTTACAAAGTATGTGCAGTACTGTTTAGTAATTCTTCATCACTGCATCTTCAGGACTGAGTCTGAGCAAATGTTAATGACTTGATATTTGGACACAATTAAAATTTAGCTGGATCTGACGCATTTTTCAAAAATGACATGAACATTTCCTGATTTCAAATATTTCTTTCCAACTTAATGATCAAAACGTCAAACTCAGGCCCAGCTCAGTAGAGACAAAGCAGGCAGACAAAACACAAACGGCAAGGTCAGTAAAGGTATGTATCTTTATTTAAATACATATATTTTTGGCATTTCGCCTTCATTGACTGGATAGTTCAAGCATGAGATGGGGATGAGGACTCCAGCCCCTTTATTCAGCATGCCCACTCTCCTGGACCATTTGTGGACTAGCTTATTTTCTTTTGCCAAATTCTTCCACCTCAACATTCCAGCAGGATATTACCAAACATGCACACACACTCAAATTATAATGTTCCTTTCTTTATTTCTGTTTTCAATTACAATCAAAGCCAAAACATTAAATTTGGGCCCACCAAGGTAGATATATATCACACAGCCAAACACACAATGGCTTTGGGAAACTGTCCACTGTATGGTCATTATAGATTATTTCAAATAACTGGGACGTTGTCGCTGAGGGGAAACAAAGTGGCTTTTGAGGGTTTCTTCATGAAACGATCTTCACATCCATTAAATTGCTGGAGGCAGATGTTTCAACAATGCAAATCAAGAGATCCTCTGAAAATAAATAAAACATTCCAAGAGGCTAAATATCACAACGATCACAAAAGATAAATGAGAAGGTTTTTCATCCTGTTTCATCCTGTTCTCCCTCTTTTGTTAAATTCCTGTCTGAGTGCAGACTTCTTGTCTAACAGTCAGTCCTATTCCTCTTTGTTTTCTCTGTGTCTCTTGTCATGCCTCACAACAAACACGCATGATGACAGATGATGCTTCATGTGACACACAACATGTTGTCATGGGTCACATTTGGGGAGCTTGGCATAAACTTCCAAGTATTTTCCAAACCATAACAACTACCTGCTAAACCTTGTGTGCTATGGTATCGTATGTTTGTGTGTGCATGCGTGTGTTTGTCGTGTGTGTGTGTGTGTGTCTGCACAAGCACGAGCAAGCACACGCATACAAAGCAGAGAGTTTGCGGCCACTGGGAAAAAAAAGAAGCTTTGACTTTTCAGCACATCGAGCTTAGTGGGTCGACAGGTCAGGTTCATGAAGTGCAAATACCTCATGTACATGCACATGCATACAAAGACACGGACAGATTAAAGCACAACAAAAGTTGATTCTACT